AATTCATAAAAAATTCTGGAAACACTTTCTTCTATCAGACTATGCATAAGGAAAAATTTTGAATATACAGAAAAGGAGAGAAAAGTTTATAAAACTAAAAAATTGAGTTTTTTTAAGGCTTTGAAGGGAAACCTTCAAAACTGCATAACTTATTGAAGAAAGGCCGTGGGGTGTTGGAGCTAGTCTCATTTTGTAGCCCACACTTTCCCCTACACATCGGACTATGCTCAACTAAAGATGAGAAATTTTTTCAAAAAAGAAGGGAGGGGGGGTTACTGACCTAAGTTCATTTATAACGTCATCATTTTCCTAAAATTTTCTGTTCGCTTTACTTAGTTGCTATTTCTCCTCGTTTTTTATGTTAACAAGAAGCTGGCGTCACTTGCCCTCATCGTCAATACTCGAACGTTTTAGGTACCCTTAAGAACATATGGACGGAGTATAATGAGACTATCTGATGTACATGTTGACTTATTTTATTATGCTTTTCCGACACTAACAAGTGGCATGTATAGTTAGAAAAAACACTTCCAAATCACCATATGTTTGATTGTGATGCCTTGATTAAACATCGTTAAGGCATCGGTTAGCCATGGGGCACTGCTGTTCATTGTACAGCAGAGCGGCCACAACTGGTTTTTCGAATAACATTTGAATCAGAGAAACGGAGAGAGACAGAGGAATACTTTAGGACATGTGTCTATGAGAAAATTAAGTTGAAGTTCTCAGTTTACCACGGTGTACCTTTTCGGGTGATTGTTCCGGAAAACTAAAATATTCACAACTGCCTTTCGACGTAAATTGGCCGAAAAAGTGATTCATACACTTTTTTCGCCATTTTTCTTATCTTTATATCTTTTGAACAAAAGAATGCCAAGAGCTCGCGATTGCCTCACTTAGCGACGAAAAGTGTGCCTGACAATATGAGACATATCAGAGTTCTCTGTGGCTGTTGATTATAGAAATATATCATCAAAACGAGGCACATATTGTGCACAAAAAAGAGAATTGTTTCAGGGATAATGTTGAATATATTCGCAACATCTCCATAATTAACAGTTGTACAGAACTCTGATATATCTCATATTCTTAGACACATTTTTCGCCGCTAAGTGAGGCAATCGCGAGCTCTTGGTATTCTTTTGTTCAAAAAATATAAAGATAAAAATAATCGCGAAAAAAGTGTATGAATCGCATTTTCGGTCCGGTTATATGGAATGACTCAGTCAGAATCTATTCAAACTGCTTCAGAATATCAACACATACCGTAGTAAAAGTCCTAAACATTTCTTAAAATTATCTTATTAAGATACTATCGTATAAGATCTCTGTAAGATATTGTAAGACCTTATTTAAGATGTTAATCAGATTTGGTGACTCTACTTTCATTCACCTTTTTGTTTTGTTCTCATGCATCTATATAAGTAACAACGTAAACATAACTGAATTTTATACGATGTCTCTCTTCTTGCGAATGTTGCTCGTACTTCCTCTCTCAAAACTGATGAACAAATTTTCAGAGAGTGTATAATATAAGTCAAGGTTCATGATAGGACACCAGAAAATTTCAAATTTCTTTTCTTCAAATTTGTTCAGTTTGTACTTTGAACAGTCTCGACTAAGTATTGAAAAATTCTTAGTGAATCGTGAATGAATGTTATTAAGAAATATAATATTTCTCACTATTAAGGCCCTAACAGTCCTACTTAATCATGAAAACGTCTTAGACAAAATTATCTATATCTTAGTAAGATGTAGACGAAATCTTATAATGAGGGAAAATCCCCAGCTGATTCACGCCGTTTCGGTTGGTATTTTGCCCACATATAGGGGATATTATCCTAAGAAAAAGCCTAAAAGGATTTATGCTGATGTGGCTTCTTTCAATAGTTATAAAGTTTTTTCATTCCCCATAGAGTGAGCGACTGTACCACTAAAATTCGTGTAACTCAGCCACTAAGGAATTTCAAGGACTAATTTTTTTTCTCATTATCGCTCTAGGTGTCTACTATTTCCAACACAAAATCTGCCACCTTTTACTTTAAATTAGAATGAGTAATTGAATTTTTGCTCTATGACTTCAGCAAGCGGAGGGTGCTTTTATGAAAAAAACAGAAGCAAAACACAGTCATGTGACGAACTAAATCAGCCACCTGTTTTCATGTGATACTTTTACATTCTCTTTCAACAATAAAAAGAGAGAATAGAGAATAATATTCTAAAAAGGCTCCCAAGATCCTTTATGATATTAAAAAAATGGTTTTTTCATAAAAGCACCCCCCGCTTGCTGAAGTCATAGAGCAAAAATTCAATTACTCATTCTAATTTAAAGTTCAAGGTCGCAAATGTTGTGTTGAAAATAGTTGACAACTAGAGCGATAATGAGAAAAAAAATTAGTCCTTGAAGTCCTTTATAACTGAGTTATACGACTTTTAGTGGTACAGTCGCTCACTCTATGGGGAATGAAAAAACTTTATAACTATTGAAAGAAGTCGCATCAGCACAAATTCTTTTAGGTTTTTTCTTAGAATGATATCCCCTATATGTGGGCAAAATACCAACCAAAACGGCGTGAATCAGTTCTCGTAAACCTCTCTCGTAAAATCTTAATAAGATTACTCCAAGATTTTAGTAAGATTTGACTAAGTACCTCACTAGGGTACTCTGTTTTGTCTACACTGAACCGCGAAGTTCAATAAACATTTTAAAAGTTCAGAAAATATAATGTTTAATGATCCCAGATTGACGGAAGTAAACAAGTATATATATTGAAGTAGTTCAAATATATTTTTATTAACACACAACAGTTTTGTGCAACTAACCTTCTCCTCTCCAGAATAGAAAGCCATGGATAGTCTGTTATCGTTTCGCACATTGAACACTTTTTCGAAAAACTCGTCGTATAGGACAATTTTGTAAAGATTTCGCTTCATACTGGTTTTCTATTCTGGTAAAGAGTTTATTTAAAATACAGAATTTTACAATTCTATAAAATAAGCATCCTTTTCTTTGTGTAACCCTTGTTTATTTACATGAGAGACTTCATATAAACAATATAAGACAGCAGGGCTTAGTGGTTATGTTGTTCGTCACGTACTGCAAACGTACTGTGTTCAAACCTCGGCGCCGCCACGTCATATAATAAACTTGGACAAGTTAGTTATTTTTTTTGTGTCTTGGATCACCCATCCGATAGCATACTCACTATGTTGTGACGCATAATAAACTTCTCCGGCTAGTTCGCGTAGCTTTCAGAAAAGCTAGTACGTGGTTAGTGAGTGCGTATAGCAGGCTTAAGTAATTGGGCTAGAGAACTCTGCGTCAGGCTAGACTTCTGTTCGGAATTGTGGTTAATATAGTAACGAGATGGGTGACCATGTCAGAAGCTTGTCAACTGGAAAGAAGATATCGGCAGAACTCTATAGCGGAAACAGTAGTCATAAGGCAGAATATTCTTTCATATAAACAATCAGAGTATCCAAAGTGCCTTTTATGTGAATGAGTACATTACTTTATGCATCAAAAGTGCATCCAGTTTACATCGAAGAATGTCCTCGAAGTGCATATAGCAGACGGTTGTGATATCTTATTAGATCATTATAAGTGCATAAAAGCGGCATCCATCCAAATTTTGAAGGTACCTAGGTGTGTTTTTTACATGAACACTTATTAACAGCTAAGAAATATAGGACTACCTTAAAAGCACCACGGATGCATTTTTTTGAAAATACATCTTTATTTTCATACCGAATAGAGTGTTCATATACCTAATTCTACTTGATTTTCTTTTACTGTTGCTTCTAACATCTTTATTTTTGCTTGACGTTGTTTTATCCATTGTTGGTTATAATCATATAGATGTTTATAATTTATCCTATCAATTTCAGCTCTCTCTGGACGTCTTAAAATTTGTACACTATCACCTGTTGTTTGATTCAATTTTTGTCGTATATTTTGTAAATTTGGTTCATATTCTAATTTTATACGAGTGGAATTTGAACTCCAATAACCAGACAATTCATTTATATCTCGTACCAATTTTTTATTTATTATTTCTAATTGTTTAACACGATCAGTATACTTAGCGAAACGATTATTTAATTGAATTAATTCATGTTTATCATTAACGTGTTGATCTATGATGGAAGAATAAATTCTACTTCTATCAAGAAAAACATTTGTTTTAGGTATGCCGCGTTCAACTCTAAGCGGTTGTAATCCCATTGCTTTCCTAAGATAAAAATTTATGAATTATACTTTGACCATCATAAACAGTATTGATGACAATTCTTTAACACACAATAAAACAACGATCAGTTAATGTTATTTTCTTCAAAAAGCAGAGACAACTATTACTAAAATATGACGGATAAAAGTTTCGAGAATTCTGAATTTTCAATTTTTCTCTTCACTGATCAAGGCTAAAAGACTTCTAAATAATAATTTGAATGACTGACGTTTTTTTTTTTCTTCTATCCAAAGAAGTGTATACAAAAATTTAGTCAAAATGTTTAATAGTCAAGAGCTCCAAAAATATGTATAGACTGTTCGTATGCGTCTCACTTTTGTTCAGAAATTGTCGCTTTATTTGATTTAATTATTGTTCAAGACCTTGAAAAAGGATCTTTAGATTTCTGACGATCTCAACTATTAAACATTTTTATCGAACGAGATACGAAAATGCTTTAGATACCCACTGAAAAAAGCTAAGAAAATCGACTTTTTTTGTCAGAGAATCTAACATACAAAATGTTTCTTATAATATTTATGTTAAAAATAGCGAGAGTGTTCATGCGTATTTTGAAATAATTGCCTGAGACTTACCAACAGTATGTCGAAAAAATGTGCAGGACCAGGCTGATTCCACCATTTTGATAGGGCTCTCAAAACCAGGTTAAATATTTTGACAGTTCACATAGCAAAAAAACGTTTTTTTTTTCAAATAGATAAATAGACCGAAAAAACGAGAGCAGTCCGAAATCTTCCTCTATTATAATTTAGATGTGACATCATATATCCTGGAATATCCGGATGACTACATGTGAGTACAATCTCAAGAAAAATTATGCGTCACCAATCATGCCAAGTGTCCTTGTAATATTTGTTTTCGTTTAAAATTTCAGACGCCTAGTAGACATTTATTTTATGTTAAATAACTTAAAGGTGACAGAGATCACCATTATCGTATATATTAAAAAAAGTATCAAAACGATGCGTTTATGACAATTGCTAATCAATTGTCAATTAACAGCAAAGAAATGATCCTGATAACCTTAATAAAAAAAGTAAAAATGGAAAATTTCTACTATTTACTAACCGTTTTCAGATTGTTAATTCACAGTCAATAAATAGGTGGTTAACAATCGTTATAAACGAATCGTCTAGATTACGTTAGATATAGTAACAACTCGACATAATTCTATTAAGATTTCATCTGTAATTATCTTACGTTTATTTCTTGACTTTATCGCTATTGATGAGAAATGGTAATAAAGATTTATGTAAACAACCGCAGTTGTATTTTTCAAAAAAAATTTTAACATAGACATTTTACGTGTAAAAAAAATTTTTTTTTTTTTTTTATTCTTCTTTTGTTTAGACAAAGAAAATGAGACTATATATTGATTCTCTTTATACATTTCTTCCATGTGTGTGTGTGTGTGTGTATGTGGTTTTATTTTATAAGTTATTGATAGTCTAATGAAAGAATGGATTCGCGTTCAAGTTTTTTTTTTTTTTTTTGTTAATTGAATAACAACAGCCAAAACAGAACATTTTCTCCTTTTTACCAATATCCTTGAGGTTAGAGAAAAAAATTTGTTCTTTTTCAATTAAAAAAAGAAATGTAAGTTAAATCAAGAATACTTCATTTCTTGCGCTGTTGATCACATTTACATTATCAAACTAACAAATAAAAAACTACTTCAATACACATTTGGACAAACAAACACATCTATACAATACATAACAATTTCAAATGCAAAGTAGGAAAAACCGATTGTAAAGATTTACTGATGAGATATATGTGCATCAATTTCACTCCGTGTGAATTAATTAGACACAAGGCCAAAAATAATTTTATAAAATTGATTTTTTTGTTCTTTTTTATTCTTCTACTGATATATCTGAACAAAAGATAATTTTAGTGAGTTTTAGATCATTGTAGTGAAGATATAGACGATAGCATCTTTTTGAACATTCGACTTTACTGATTTTGAAGATTAAAATTTTACTAGCATTTTTCACTATTAGTTTTTGAAATAAAACATCAAATATGAACGACATCTCGTCATTATTGTAAGAAGTATTACATTCTTATCGTTCAGCGTCTCATACATTACTGTGCAATCCACCTACTAATGAAACTTATTTCTCTCTATAATAGAGTAGCTTTGAGCTATGATAGAATGTTAACACAGACATTATTTACATTTTTCGTGATATTTTTCTAACATAATTTCTCATGGTAATTTTTGTGTATCGCCATCGGGATCTTTGAACGCCGCTATACAACCGCTTCAAACATATGTATACGAATATACTAAAATACTTCATATATTGATTCGTCATTTGCATAAACGCTTTTTATTGTTGCAAACAATTTTTTTTTCGATATTCGAGGCAAAATTTCATTTACAAGAAAAATTCATATTTGCCAGCCATACATCTACATAAGTTTAAAAGAATTATAATGAATTGTTTAAGCTCCTGAAGCTCGGGAAGGTCTTAAACTGAAGCTAACACATGTAGCTAAAGGCTACGGCTTGTTCACGTAACTCCCATGGCAGAGATGTCACAATGTTACTTTTTTTGCTGATTTTTTTGTTTCTACTATAACTTCGAAACTAAAAGTCGTAGAGAGTTCGGAGACGTTTTAAATTATAGAGAAAACTGTTTTCTACATTTTGAAATCTGATCAGACTCTGGGAAATCTACCTTCAAAGAACTGTGGTCAAAATGCTGAGATCTACATCTTTGATTTCGATTCTTGAATAGCAGGTCTTAGCATTTGAATTACAGTTTTATTAGAATATATTACCTAGAGCCTGTACAGATTTCAAAATGTAGAAAACAGTTTTTTCTTTAATTCAGAACGTTTCTGAACTCTCTATGACTTTTAGCTTCGAAGTTATAGTCAAACCAAAATGAGCAAAAAAAGTAACGCTGTGATATTTCTGCCATAGGAGTTACGTAGGTGAACCGTAAAGTCCAATTTTTGATATTCGGTCTAGATTTGTGATTAGAAAAATATCTTTATGCAAGTTAATGAGATTTTTTCAAATTTTGGACTTTTGACCCTGACCATTAATTTGAAAAGTAAAATATCAAAAAAAAGATAGATTTCTGACGGAGGTCTTAATACACTATATACTCATTTTTATCCCAAATATTCTTACAAAATTCAAGAACGATGTGTAAGCCTTTTGGAGTTAAAAGTGCCTTGAAACAAACCCTGAACCAGATTTCACTCGAACGAAGCATTCTGAAGCAAAAATGGAAATACAAAAGTTGTTCAGAATGTGATTTTCTACAATATGAACGAGGTATTTGTTGAAACTGATAAAATTCAATTTTTAAATTTAAATTTACGAAAATTAAATACTCGTACTTTTTAATACAGTCAAATACAGTTCTTGAATCTAATCTTCTTTAAAAAAATTGTCACGTTACTTTTTAATGCAGTCAAAATGATGTAGTTTTTTTAATGAAGTTTTTAAAATTGGATTTGGAGTATGTTAAAATTAGAATATTTGTTAAAAGTTCTGGCTTAAACTTTTAAAGCATAAGATTTTCCAGCTACAAACTGAAGTATTATCATTTTTCATCGTACGCCTTCGAGATACTCTTTATAATGGTATACTAGCAGACGTCGCATTCATTAAGTGATATCAAAACAAATAAGAAAAATGTCGCCGTAGTTTTCATTCTCCAAACCAAAGAAAGTAAGTTATAGAAAATATTTATTTTATATAATAAGAAACCTTACTGAAAACTTGAAAACAAACGTTGATTAAGACTAGGCTTACCTCTATTAATTAGCAAAAGAATCATTTATTATCAATTTTCGTTTTTGACATAATGAGTGGAGAAAATTTTTTTTCCGTGTACGAATAGATTCTACAGCAGTTGTATAATAATTCGAACATAAACAAAAACAAACACACACGCACTATATCGAGAAAATTAACTGTGATTTATGCTTTTGATGTATCGCCTTTTACTACTGACGCTAGAGAGCCAGTTCAATTGTCATTCGAGAGAACAGATATTTTTGAGCATTACTATATGAAGATAAAACCAGTACAGAAGATTGTTCAAGTTTTACATAAAAGCGATTATATGTTGATATGTTGTCTCAAAGGTTTTTAGAAACGTTTTCTGAAAATCTTGAAAAGCTGGCGAGCAATTTATTTTCAGATAAAAAACAGATCTAGAAAGCTTTCAATAATACTAAAAAGTAGAGCAAACATTTCTGATCAAAATGAGATATCTCCCAGCTCTGAATGGTGTTCTAATCAAGAATTATGAGGGTTTTGCTGGAAGCCCTAAAACGTGCATCGGACACTGGCGCCACCCCTAGTGGAACTTCTTGTACCCAAGATCTTGGCCAAGATCTTGGGTTAAGAATTTCAAGCTCTTGGATTCTTGAATCTGTCACTCAAGATCTTGTATTAAGAAATTTCAAGATCTTGAGTGAAGCCACTCAAGATGTTGCAAGAGCAAGAATGACAAATTTTCTTTACATTTTGTTTTTATTTATGA